GAATAGCACTTAAAAATGGATCGAAAGTAGAGTCCAGGTGTAGTCCTCATGCACTAGCTTAAGACGTGAATTACTCTTGGTGAAACGAACTGCTTTAACCGGTTCCTCAACTAGCATTACAACTGAGTCTCTCAAAGGAGAAAATAGGGTCAAATAAAGGAAAAACGTCGTATACGTCAAAATCAGGTTTGTGTACGAAATGTACAGAAAACTAAGGACGCAGTGAGGCTTTCAGGTAGTTCGGAAGAAGCCCGTTCCTACTACATGACCTTCGAAATTGTTTGCCGAAAAGGATACCGCTCCGCCAGTGCTGACAGTGCTCATTTAATCACGATGAGTGGCCGATCTCATGAAATGTTGGCCGAAATTCTGAAATGCGTTTTCGATTCGGAGGGATTACTTAGGTATGGGTGTAATATTGATAATCATGAAGCAAAATCCTATAGTATTTCAGAATCGCCAGGATGTCGGCTTTTGATTGAGCTTCTATTTCGCTCCTCCTGCAGAAACCACACTCGATACACACTGACTACTTAAGTAGCATGCATTTTCCCTATTGATTTTCGATGGTCTTGTAAATTCAAATATATTTCATAAAAAACATCCAAAAAATATGCTTTCTTCTACTCCTTTTGTAGACAATCGCATTTTCTTGATACTTTATACCCGAAGAAAGTGTATATTTAGGTTTTAAAAAGTTTTCCTATTCAAGGATAATTTGGAACCTGACCTGCCATTAGCGTTTGACGATTTCAGTCTATAAAGTGCACGCTTCCCGCGTAAGGAAAATCATATATTCCTCTATGCCTTTAAGAAGGCACCACATAGAGTTCCTAAAATTTCGCAATGGATCCAGACTGTGTTGTGCATTTCATTAGGATCATTGGTAAACGGAAATGTGCGGTCCTGTACGCTTGGACATCGCACGGTCTTAAAAATTCCATAATTAGAAACTTTTTTAAAATCCTAATATACACTTTTTCGGGCCTAAAATATCGATACAATGTGATTTTCTACCAAAGGGGTAAAAGAAGGCATATTTTGTGCATGTTTTCCATAAAATATATTTGAATTTACAAGACCATTGAGAATCAATAGGAAGAGTGCACGCTACTTAAGTCGTCATTTTTACAAAGTGCGGTTTCTGCAGGAGGTCAAAAAGGGCTGCATCCAAAAGCCGAAATCCTAGTGAGTCTGAAATGTCATAGGCCTATGCTTATGATTGTTACAACCCCGCCTAATTAATCCTTCCTAATCGAAAACGTATTTCAGAATTTCGGCCAACATTTCTTGAGATCGGTCACGTACTGTATGTCTCGGTTACTGTATGCCAACTTTGCTATTCAATTTATTTCGTTTTATGCAAGATGTCAATTTGAGGCTCGAAAGAACCTCCTCATAGGTCAACAAAAGTTTCGATTTCTACGGCCATACCGCGTAAGATATTTGGCCACTTCCGGGTGTGGGCTTTTAATAGATCACCCTACAAAATTGGTAAGTAGATTATGCAGGTTTTGCGCGCATATAAGTTAAAAGATTCTAGAAAGGTCAGCATTAAAGGCCAACATTGTTTCTATCGATTGCAAAAGTGTGGCCTGGCTGGTCTTCCGCAACTGGTGACAAAAAAATTCAGGGAAGTTTGAGATGACAAAAATCACTTTCACAGATGTTTTGGCAGATTTTTGAATAAATCATATTGACCCAACTGTGAAAAACTCGGCGCCTCGGTGGGATTCGAACCCAGGCAGTAAGGGGAAGGCTTTAGTACAGCCAAAGCATTTTGTTTTAGTGCCCTGAAAAAGTGTCTGTCATTTTTCACACAACTTTGATTAACAGTCAGACCCAGGTCGCTACCTTGTGTCTCATTTGTTCCTTCACGGTTTTTCCTTTTACAGGCAACGTGATAAATGCGCTGGACAAAGACGGGGGCTAGAACGGTGTATGGGGGGGGGGACTTTATGGGGGCTGCGCGCCCATAATAAATGCCAACATTGGAGGTTTTGTGGCACGTCTAGGTGCAGGCCAACGTGGCGCTAGTTGGGACCCGAGGTGTCGCCGGCTTCTTTCTTGTCGTGCAAAATCCTGGTCAGTGCCCGTTCGTTACCTGGAGATGTGATGGTACGCCTAGGTGCAGATTTTCACCTTGCCAATCACCTTCGACCTCTCCCGCCTCTAGCCTTTTTGACTCTGTCATGACGCCGAGTCAAGCTGGGGAAGGAGGTCGGGGTGAGATAGGTGCTGCGACGTCCACGAATTTGCGCGCAAGTCACCGTCCCCATGTCCACTCTGCTGTGGTTCACTCGACGGACGTTATCGGAAACGACGGTTGAACTGTCGAGTCAAAGCATATTAGCCACTGAAGGGCGATGCAAGTGTGGGGTCAGGTTAAGAATCCGTTAATCTCGGTGCATCCTATGTAACGTTCAAATTCCCTCGGACTCCAATGGCCTAGCGCCAATCAAAAGAAGACGAAACTCACAGGTGACTGTACTTTGTCAAGCCGAGCCAACGGATGGCAGGCCTGCTGTTCAACAAGTCAAACGGCTTTTTGACGGCCGATCTTAGTAAGAGAGTCTCGTATCTCAAGCTATAGCAGCATACTGACTGTGGGAGATTTACGGTAGCCTTACTTGACGGAGAGTTGGCCCGGGTGAAATCAGGGTGCAAGTATCCCCCCACTAGCCAGTGCACTTGTATAGTCTCTCTTAACTTTGGGACACACACCTCCACTAGGCTTAAGGGGTTTCCCGTGGCTTTTGACTTCTGCAAGCAAAAGGTTAAGACTTACTTCGTCAGACAGAGCGCCCGTAGCCGTCAAGCGAATGAACAGTAGGAGCGCAATGCAGTAAACTGTAAAGAGGCTTATTGAATAGGATACGGAAACGGGCAATGAGGCGAATCATTTAACCAATCATAGCAAAACCGCCAAGGTCGAAGAGGGCTGACTCAAAAGATGGAAGTTTCCTGTCAACTACTCAGCCGGCCTGCGGAACGTTAGTCCGGATATTTGGTGCGCATGATTCCGGGGGTTCGATAGGACGCTCGCTACCGTCGCGATAGCCTGCGAACAAAATCAAAAATTCCAGTTATCCGTTCCGTAATCTTTCGTTTTTTATGCCTCTACAGTCCGCACCTAACCACTTGAAGTAAGTTGCAGGCGACCGACAGTTTTTTTTCATGAAGGTGGCATTTTTCGCCAAATGGGACAGTCTGCTGTCAGTTATACAGAAATTGTTTTCGCTCGGACTCTATGTCCACTCCTGGCGATTTTGACTATTTTTTGACTGGCCTTTTCCAACAAATCGCTGAGCATATCTGTGTGGTCCAAAACTTTGTACAAAAACAGCTAGTCACTTCGGGCTACACTCAAAAAGAAGTACTTACGAATATGCATTTTGCCCATTCGAACAGTCAAGATAATTTGCTGGCTTAAGAGATAGTCATTCAGGGCACTTGAACAAACCCTTTCAGCAACATCTTTGCCACAGTAACACAAGTATGGCCGAGTAAGTATCCTAAGGAATTTAGTTTATAAATTTGAAATTAACTGATGAGAGTTTTGGGAAACGGGTGAACTCTGCCCACCTTCTGTCTAAAATTAACATACAGTCCCTTGAAATAGCGAAACTCCACTGCAGGTTCAATAAAAGAGCAAGTTTTCTACACTCGAAGTCTCAAAAAGTACTAAAACGTATATATATCTTACTTTAGATATGTGACATTTTGGAAATCGCGTCCACCTGAGAATGCATAAGAGAACATTAGCTGGGAAACTACGTTAATCAAAAGGGTCTGCAGAAGCAATTAGGCTGCGAAAACTACACTTAAATCTACGGTAATTTGACGGCGGTATCAGTGGAAAGAGGAGACGTTTTCCCTTTAAATCTGCCAACCGGTTTCTCGCGTTGTACCTTTTTTCTGGGACATGCAGCGCCGTAACCATTTTTCGAGAGGAAACGTTATAAAACCACATGTGTGAAAAATGTCAAATCGAAGCCTAGGGTAGGGAGAACGCATATTTAACAGGCGAATGGAATGCAGCGCCGGAGGATGACCGGTGGTGAGGCACTGGTGGACTTCGGGTCAATCAAGGACTAATGACCCATTTGCCAGACGCCATCCATGAACCACGTGTGCCGCTTACGAACGCATATGTGTGTTTCTAGCTCCAAATGGTGGTCATCGTTATGTCTGAGTGAATGAAGGCAGAATAAGCCCGAAACAGTATTGTAACAATCTTCCCGCACTCTCTGTCGTTCCTCTCATCTGTAAGATATATATATATATAG